GAAGCACATACATACCGGAGGTCCCTCGGACACATACTACTCAGTAGCTTGGATGTTAACCTCGCTGCGACGTGCCATAATTCTGCGAACACGCCGAATTTTCTCCCGCCGGCGCTTCCACTTCCAAATCGGGCAGACGCCGCGCTCGAAATTTGAGAGTGAAAAAGCATACGTAGGCGCATCGATACTTACAGGTCTCCTAGTCCATAGGGGAGCCAATCAAACAAATCCCAGTAGGTTTTGGATCAACTGGCTGTCATTGAAGTTCATCAGTGTGATGTACTAGTAGTACGTCGACGGTGTTCACAGCAGGCGAGTACTCAAGTATCCGACGCTTCCTCGTAGATGTCAGCGACTGATCCATTAACATATTTAGTTGTTATAGGCTTATAGATTCATTGAATTATAATGACAATTTGCTGTGAGTGAGCGTTATCGCGTTGCTAAAGCTCAGTTTAGTCTTACTGCATGCCAGGGGCGGGAACTTAACCTATAACGGTGTACGCCGTTGAACGGTTTTTCCATGCGTACGCACTGCATCATTGACGCGGTATCATGAGGTTCTGTGACGAGGATGACATGGTGATGTTACAGTGGGGTGAGTGCGAGCAACAACTGCCGCCGATCCTCCGTGTTCAGTCGATGACGAATATGGCAGATTCGAGTCACCGTGAACGTGCATCACATTCTGTATATGAAGGCCACCAAAGGACGGTACGGTGCACAAAGAGCTGAACAATCAGCCAGAAGCTGTCCGACCCACACCGCTTTGTGCGTGACCGCGAACCAGGCGTGTAGCCATCAAATAGTCAAAGCTGAGCAGAGCCACGATAAGCACCGCAGCGTCTTTCTTGGACAATCGCATCCTTTGTCATCCACGAGGAGAGCCAGGAAGGGTTGCCAGGGTCCCCGACGATCGAGAGGACATCAGCGCGAGGCTTAACCTCCACGGACAGGCCCCCAAAACACAGAAATCATGGCGGAAATGAAGTGCGGCATCTGCCGCACGCGTGCCGAAGCTCAACCATGGACGCAGCTACCGCTTTGGCCCGCGGCTCAAGGAAGCGCTCCTTTGTGCATCCCGTATCGCGCGTTCTGGACGGAGTCGTCGCTCAGATACGTGTCCAGGAATCGAATCCGCCTTTGTGCAGACAACTGCCGCGTGCTGGACGCACACCGTCACACCAGTACTCTGTCCCCGCCTCATGGCCTCGATGGATGCCGTTCTCCCAACATATAAATTCCGCGATGGTTTCTGCGCTGCTCTCCAGCACTCAGCACCTCGCTCTTCGCCTCTTCTACTCTTCGTACACTCTACTACCCCTTCTCCATTCCAGAACACTCGCCAAGATGTCCTACAACTACGACACCATCTTCGACGCTTTTGCTCCCCTGTCTCCGTAAGCCTAACCACCATCCCCACTCCCCACTCCGACTCCCGACGCGACACCATCTAACCCTTTTCTGCCACAGGTCCTCCCGCACCGACACCGGGCTGTCGGACTTCGTTGAGGAGTTGCTCGCGGGTGAGCACGATAGGATGACGTTCGGCGAAGGAACGTACGATGGGATGGAGGACAATGGGGCCAGGTACGTGCTCCGCCTTCGGTCTCCGACACCAACGGTCTCCCTAACCAAACGATGCAGCGGCTCGGAGTGGGCCAACTGGCTCGATCCCACCACATCGCCGTCCGCCGCGGCACCTCCGACGGGCCTCCCTTTTCCTGAGCTGCCGGCCATCTGGCCAGCGGCGTTCGCGCAACCATCGACCGGGGAGGACATCGCTAACCAGTTCATCCCTCCGCTCAGCCCCTCCATTGCCCTTGGTGAGTTAGAAGACCCTATCGACTTCTTAACCCGTATGATCACGATAACCCCCACCACGTACACGCACCCCGCAACCATGCCCACTTTCTCGTCAGGCTTTGCGACGGACTTCTTCGCGTTCAGCGCCGCTCCGTCTCCATACACCTTTCCTACCTTCCCTGCCGCTCCTGACCACTACTTCTATCCGCAAGCCGACCCTGTCCCCGCCCCACTACCACCCGTCCTCGCCCTCGCTCCCGCCCCTGCCCCTGCCCCCGCCCACGCCGTCGGTGCCGGTACTCCCACTCTTGTCCTGCCCGATGTCATCGGCAGTCTCGTCTGGGAATCTCCCGACACCGTCAAGACCTATATCTGGGACGGCTGCCAGCTCCCGCCCATGCCTGCCATCCTCCTTTGGAACCATCTGATGGGTGTGGTCAAAGTCCTCGAAACATCGGTTGGGACAGATCACAAAGGCAAGACCTTGCATCGCTGTCTGTGGCCGGGTTGTCACCACGATCGCATACTGAGGGACAACCTCCGGAAGCATGTCCAGACCGTCCACCAGAAGCTGAAGAGGCGATGTGAGAACCCCGGGTGCATGTTCACCGAACGCTCGGATATGTTCAAAACGCGGCATAGGGACTGCCCGCATGGTGCTCCGGGGGTTCGTCCTAAGGGCGTTCCTGTGCTTGCTCCGTACTAGTAGTATGTGGTAAGGCTCCGTGTTTGCTTCACTTTCTCTTGTCAGGTCTCGTCATTGTTTATTCCCATGTTTCTCAAGTCATCCTATCACACCATTCCATCTCATACCGCACCACCAGTCTCTTTCTATGCATTGCAATCGCCTCACTATCTATACCCCGCATCAGTCCCGCTATACCTCACACCTCGTTATACCTCACTTTTCTGTCTCGCTCGTCTCACTAGCATGTATCCATCCCAATCACATTCTAACCATGTACCTTAAGACGCATAATTACCACATCTATACCTCCATCTTGGTTATACACAATCAAAAAGACCGTCATTTGAGACCGACAAAAGCGACCCGTAACCACGACCCGTAAGTATCAAGGCTCAAAATCGCCTAGAACGCTACGCTACGCTCGTTACTCCTCACTCTCCCAAATCACCACCGCAGGCGTCTCGGCAGCATAACGACTCGCCCAGCGCCGCTGCTTCCGCAAGTCGCGCCAGCTTGCATACACGCCCAGTGCAAGCGCAACGCAGCACGCCGCGATCGTCATCTGCAGGCTGTCGACGTAGCACGCGCGCCCGATGATGCAGTGGTGCGGAGACGGTATCCCTGCGCGTGTGACGTCTGTCGCGACAACCGAGGCCGAGAGTGAACGGGTGGAAGGGGAATTGGAAGAAGGCAGGATGGTGGACAGCGCGGTGGCTGCAGTAGCGAGGAGGGTGGTGTCGGCCGCGGAAGGTGTGGGGTCTGGGTCTTCGTGTGAGTCAAGGTTGCGCCCGAATGCGATCGAGAAGACGTTCCCGCCGAGCATGGGCGAGAGCGAGACGAAGCCCCAGTTCTCGGAAAAGTGCTCTGTCGGTCGACGGTCAGTAGTTAGGTATCGATAGAGGGAGCATGTATACTCACGGAGTCCGAACCACTCGATGACGAGCGTGGGGAACAGCCCAAACAGCCCACCGTATGCAAGACCGAGCAGGGCACTGGCCTTCCATAGGTTGGAGATGTCCTCGATGAAGAAATAGGTGATTTGGGAGATGTTAAATAGGGTCGCGACTATGATTGCGCAGAAGGAGCGCGGGAGGCCCAGTCGGCTCTTTGTGAAGTCCGCGATGATACCTGCGCCGATCAAGGCATGAAAAAAAGACCATCGAGGAGGAACCGGACACAGCGTACCGATGCTGATGCGTCCGAGACAGTTCATGATGCTGACGGTGGATACTTGGGTGGCTTGCCATTGAGCAGCTTGTCGTTCATCGTAGTCGGGGTTGTTGAACGCGAACAGTGCTTGTGATATTGCGCCAACGTTGTTGATGTCTGAGAATGCCTCTGAGCGAGCGAGCGATAGAGGGAGGTAGCTCGCACTCACACATCAGCGCAGTCCCGATCACCAAGTAATCAATGAGTGCCTGACAATTAATATAAGCACTTACCCAGAGAAGAGATAGTGACTATGGGTGATGATCAGAGCACTTCTCCAATGAGATATCGAGAGATAAAAACTATTCCCGAAAAGTCGACTATCAACCTGGGTGTGGCTAAGATTTAGACGGGCGCCCAAATGGTGCCCATAAGGATCACTGGTTTAGTTGTCAGAAGCCGGTCACGACACAAATTAGCGGCACGAGTGACCCGCTACTGACGCGTGTTCTTCACGCGCACAGGAATGCTCGCAAGCCGCCCAGGATAAGACAGCGTCCCTGAGGGAGTGGGACATTGAGAGAGTGAATGCTTTGTTCAGCGTATGTGATGCAGTGTAACTGCGAGGAACATCGTAGTGCGTGGCGTAGGCTTCATTTCACGAAGCGTCGCAACATGATGTCCAATGACCCGGGATGCGAGTCGAAGATCCGCAGTGTGTGACGTTCCCAAGCACCAGTTCATGAAAGATTGAGCCTCACCCACATGAGAAGAACACGTGGTAGGTTTGTTATTCATCCAAAGGCTGGATCTACATAGTTTATTCCAGAAACTGAGTATACTTACGCGTTAGGAAGCTGGTGATGCGCGTATGGTCCGCGCGGCTCCGGGCGTACATTCCAAGGGTTCGATGCAAGACTCGGCGCCGAGTGTGGGGAGGAAGTGTGGTTTGGAAAGGGAACGGTAGGGCATGGCTACATATATAGAGTGTTATCAGGGTGACATGAGGAGTCAGCGATGAAGATGTATTTGCCCAAGAGGCAAACAAGACTCTCGTATACACGGAGTCTGTTCTTTAGGAGCAGAGCACAGTCAGTAGTACCTCGAAACAGATAAGTAAAGTAGTGTAGCTGGCAGGACGCCGGGATGTTAGTATAGGAGGCGCGGCCAACCAGGCCATATCACGTGGCAGTCATTGACCAGACAGAACGAATACAATCGAAGATAGGATCAAAACGGGAACCTTGACAACTACCCGTATTTGTCACGACTTTCCCCAAAGGATGACTAGGGGGATTGGCACAGAGCGAATTCGGGGATGAGAAGGCCACAGTAAAATGAAAATCATGTCTGCCAGAGCCCCCAGTGGGACTCGAACCCACAACCTCCAGATCACTGATAAGGTAGAAGTCTGACGTCATAACCATTAGACAATGGGGGCCTCCTCGCCCGTTCTTTTTATGTAGTCATAGTTATCATGGATGCTCGCTTCTTTTTCCTATCGGACCTGCCATTCGACAAAGTTCTTACTACTTACTGGGATCCTTTACTGTACCGGTTGGCGGGAGGCGACGATACCGATAACTCAAGGAGGCTCCTCCTGCCTAAATCTTGCTTACAGCGAAGTCCAATTGAACGCTACTTGTGTGACCATGCTCCGGCCTAGGCCTAACGAGGCACTTCTCCGACGCCGACAAATCCCACGGAGCCTTGTTATATGACCCAGCTCCGATAAATAGGTGGATGGCTCTCACGTAGTGATCACAGCCCCTTCCAGCACGATGGGGTCCTTTTTCTCCCGTGGATCATTCAACCCAGACACCGACATCCCAGCGGATATGTCGGGCAAGGTCATCCTCGTCACCGGAGGAAAGTAGGTACACACACACGCCCCGCGGGTACACCGTGACGCATATTCGCTAACATACATATGGAATTTTACTACAGCTCCGGTGTGGGATTTGCGGCCATACAACGGCTCGCCCGTCATGGCGCGAAAGTCTACATGGGTGCCCGCGACGAGAAGAAAGCTCGAGCCGCTATTGTACGTCTGCACGCAGAAGGGCTCGGGCCGGGTAATGGCGAAGTCGTATGGCTGAGCCTTGACTTGAGTGATCCGCGGAAGGTCGTAGCTGCCGCGGAAGAGTTCATGCAGGGAGAAGAACGCCTAGATGTATTGGGTGGGTATCAGCATCTGGCTTGTGGATGGTCGATCGATTGACAAGTGATGGCACATTGTAGTCAACAACGCAGCAGTGTGAGTACTGCAGAACGCAAGGGCTATAACCTGAACAAGATGGCTGACCCATCAGATCATAGGTTGTTGGTGCCCTACGCCAAGGACCACGACAATATCCAGAACATCGTGATGGTGAAGTGAGTGGATCCCTGCACTCGTTGAATACGGTTCAGTCTTGACATGCAATTCAACAACAGTTACATCGGCACCTATCTACTCACTCGGGCTCTCCTTCCGATTTTGAAGCGGACTGCGCAAGAGCCCAACAGCGACGTTCGGGTCATCGCCGTCAACAGCAAGTCGTACGTTTCCCTGCTCAGGCCCGCTTCATGGTCACTCCACATGATCATAATGCCGATATATTCTTCAGCCACAAGTTCTGCCCTTCCGACGTCCGCTTCCGCAACATCGACGACCTCAACCGGGACTTCGCCGACACCACGTCGCCCCAGTACCTCCGCTACGGTGCGCGCGCTCCGAGACGATGACGGCCCTCACACTCATACGCAATCGCTTGCGCTGACTGTTCTGCCCTCGCAGCCTTCTCCAAGACGATGCAGCTCATGTTCATGCAAGAACTGCAACGCCGATTCGACGACGCCGGTGTCCCAATCCTCTGCATCTCAACCGATCCGGGTCGAGTCCAGACTGGTGCGCCCTCCTCCCTCCCCTGCAAGCCAGTCTCATCCCTTCCCTAATCACAAATGATACTCCCCCAAACGTGATCTTTGCAGAGGGTGTGCACGCGTACACCGAATCCGTCGGCCCCATCCTCGGACCTCTCTATCGCCTAATCGCTCGCCTGACATTCGCGTCTCCCGCCTCTGGTGCCCTCGGGACGATTTTCTGTGCAGCCTCTCCCATCCCCCGCGCCGAGCCCATCAAGTACCGCGGAGCCTACCTCTCACCGTCGTGCGCGATTGACAGGACCAGCCGTCTTGTAGAGAGGAAGGAGCTGTGGACGGAGCTGTGGGAGACCACCGAGCGGTTACTGCGCGATGACATTGGTCTTGACTTGCCCACGGTGTAGTGCACAGTTGACTTCATGACCGTGTTACGTTCATATGAATTGCGCCACTAAGCTCCATCGTCGCTGCAGTCTGGTCGTGTAGTGCACATCCTCGATAGTCCAATTGCGAGAAGCATACATACACTATCCGCGCACTACAGCATGATGAGTCGAGTATCAAGACGCCATCCAATCATCAAACGCAACCCGTCCGTCTAGGGACCAGCACAAAAGAATAAGATACAACCCAACACACATTCACTCCCACGCCTTGAGCAACTTCTCCGCTTCCGCCGCCTCGCGCTCGATGATGCTCGCGGCCTCGGGGAACCGCGGGCGCGCGACAAACTTGAACGGGCCCGGCTTGCGCGTCAGCCCCAGCGCGATCATCGCGTTCATATCTGGCAAGACCGCACTCCCGGCCTCGTCTTTGGCTGGCTCGAGGTCGAATGCCCACAGGATCCTAAATACCACACAATCCCGGGCGCGGGGTTGTGCCAAGTCAGCATCAAGCGATAAGAATAACTTACAAGCAGTAAAAAGGAGGCATAAAGGAAAGTGGGAGTGGATAAGAGAGCGGCACCGCGCACCTTGCGATGACGATGTACACCGACTGTTGCGCGACGTGCATGCCCACACAATGCCGCCTGCCGAAACCAAAGTGCAGCGAGAAGTCGTCGAGGCGCGGGTCGTCCGTCTCCAGGAACCGCTCCGGGCGGAACGTCTCTGGTTCCGGAAACATGTCCGGGTCCCGCAGCATCGTGCTAGCACAAGACAAGACAAGTCAGCTTTGCGGTCCGCGACCTTCAAGATTCGCAGATCCTCCGCGAGCAGAGAACGTGAAGCACGCACTATAGATTTCCGATGACAGTCGTTCCCTTCGGAATGACCCAGCCCTCATACACGTCGTCCTTTGTGACAGCATGCGGGACCGCGAGAGGCGCGACGGGCTGCCACCTGTACACCTCCTTGAGGAATGCGCCGAGGTACGGCAGGGAAAGTTCGTCGGCGAAGCTTGGGAGGCGGTCACGGCCGACGATGCGGTCGAGCTCTGCTTGCGCCTTGCGCGCCGAGGAGGGGCTGTGGAGAATCGCGCCTGTCCAAATACACAAGTCCAAGGAGCGTTCGAACGTTCATCAGTGACTGGATATGCGGTGGCAGCCGCCGAGAGGAAGTGCGCTCACACAATGCGACTTCGAGAGTGGCCAACGTCTGCGACGAGCGAGCTCGCGTCAACGTCGAACAAAAAAACAAAAACAAGGGGGCTACACCCCAAATTTGCGGGCGCATACTCACAGTATCAATTCCCGCACCGAATGGCGCGCTGAGCGCGAACGCAAGCTGGACGTCGGAAAAGCCGAGCGACGCCTGATCCTTGAGCCCGCGCGTTGCCATGCACTCCTTCGCTGTCCCTGCCTCTATGCGCTGCTTCACATCGTTCAAGAGCTCCATGTAGAGCGACTCGGCTCTCTGGTAAGCTTTGTCTGCATCGCCGCGGAACCATTGTAGGGCTCGCTATTGGGCTGTGTAACTATTGAGGATATTATAGAGGGAGGCCGTGAGACCTACAGGGAGGTAGAGAAGGGCCGGATACTGTGGGTAGCAATTCAGCATACGTCAAAATGGGCTCGAAAGGGGACAAGTGTACTTTCTCGACAGGGTTCCCCGGGATGCTATACAGTATGCGAGTCACTCAAACTGGACGAGCGGAGAAAATGAAGGGTGCACTCACTTTGCCCTCTGGTAGTCTACAGACCATCCGTCAGAGAGTTTTGACAAATATGTAGCAAGAACAAATCACACGGACCTGATCCCGCTTGCTGATTTCTCTTGAAGACGGGGTCGTCCAAATCAGCAGTACGACGGCCATATGAGATAGACAGCACCACGGATGTCGAGAACCTGACACAATACATCAGTGTCCGCTCCGACAATGTTGGATGGCAAGTACGCCACGCACAGGCTCAGATGATAGTCGAATTGCGCCGCACTGTGGAGCAGCCCGCGAAGTGCGAGTGTCGACTCGAGAGCCTGGTGTTCGCAGTACGCGAGCGACGCGCGACCACTCATGCCTGTGTTCTGAATCTATATCGGGGTCGCTCTGAGCATCAGCCGCCAGTCTGTCAAGAGTTAGATAACACAAGCCACCTTCCTCCACATGCGCCATTGCTTGCCGTATGGCATGGAAAGGCCACGCAAGCCCCTCGAGACGATCTCATGAGCGAGGATGAGACGAGGGCGACTGGAGTAGATGTCGCCGCGTTTCTGTAGCAAATCCAACGCGATGTCGGCCTTGTTGATGACTGTAGGTGAGGAACTGTGCGTTATCACCATTGTCTCCCTCAGAAGGGATGTATACGAGACACACCAACGACAGGAGAGGTGCCACGATAAAACGAGAAGATTGGGCCTGCGAGACTGTCATCAACGCGGAACTTGTCCTGGGCGATACCATACTCGCCATAATCATCCTTGAGTGCGTCGAAGATGAACCACTGTGGTGCTTTTGGACCAACCTTGGCGAGCGCCTGAGCCAGAGACTGTGGGCCTGGAGGAAGACGTTGAGCTTTACGCCGTCGCTCTGCCAATTCCTTGATGAGAAGTAGCACAATGAGCCCAGTAACGACAAAGGACACGGTCAACATGATGGGAGAGAGTGACCCTAAAGCAGTGCTGGCGCTTATGGTATTTGCGCTGGCGTGCAAGTACGCTAAGAGCATGAGCCGACGGACATATACGCTCGGACTATGCGATGATTCTACGAGATGAAGTTCTCCAGTAGGACAGAGAACAACATATGTCATAGGAGTACACCAGTGTTCAGGGCCCATCCAACACTGGCAATAAACTGAAGCTGCCGTTCGTAGAAACCAGCCACAAAGCCCAGGACTAACCGCTCCCATCGCCCAAGAATAATCCATCCTTCCACCATGCCCGCATATTCAAACCACTGTGGGTAGAATCCTGCGAGTTCCCAATCAATCAACCACACCCGGTCGTCATCACCCACAATGATATTGCCCGGATGGATGTCAAGATGGGTCAGCACCAGCGGCAGCGAAGCGTCAAACGTCATTGGTCCGGGGGGGTACTTTCTGATGCGGCGGTTGACGTCGAGCTTGTGCATATACCAGGCCGTGAGTTCTTCATAGGATGCAAACGGACCTGCACCCTGATACAGTCAAGTCGTAGG